TTTTTTAATGAAAATACAGATGCAAGTCGCCGCACTGGATCTCGGTCGGCTCGCATCCCTTGAACGCAACTGCCGGCCGCTTGTCGACCGAACTGGACACCTTGCAGTCGGGAATGTCGCACGGCTGGCGGCGATTAATGCCCACGAAGCACCACGGTCTGGCCGATGAATCCGGGTTGCGACAGAAGTTTTCGGTCAGCGTCTGAACAAGTGATCGTCTCGTCAAAATGTGTTTGTGCCAAAACAGTGGTACCTTTCCGTATTTGCGAGTCAGGCGGAGTATCGGCGGCGAGTCCCATCGAACGCAAGTCGCGCCGCTTTCTGAAGTACTGGCGCTGCCCGTGTAATCGACACCGTTTCCGGTAACGCAACCGACGTCTACGGCGCTCGTCTCGCAGATGTACGGCAGTCTTCGCCTACAGTTCACCGCCGTCCAATAGAAATAGTTCGAATCAAGCTTGTTCAAGCGCAGTAAGGCGAGACAGTCATGTGACCTTGAAAATACCGCCCCTAGAAGTGGAATGCATCATTTGCAGCGTTATTGCGCCCTTTAGATAACTGTATGCATAGTATCTCGTAGTCTGGAAGCTCTTTTGTAGTGATAACGGGAATTCGCTCTGGCAGGTTGAGATAGTGAAGCTGCCCTCCACTCGTCAGTAGTGACCACCAGTGACCGAATTCTCGAAAAGTGTTACAACTCTGTAAATCGGTCGCATTCGATAAAGCATGGGGACATTAGGACAACAGTACACGAGGCAAACACCCAATGGACTACCGAACAACCGCCTAACAAAAAACGCTTAAGATGAGAATAGATTAGAGTAGCGTCAACTTGCGTTCTTGGAGGGCCCACAATGAGAACAAGTCAAGTGAAGAAAGAAGTCTATAAATGTGGTACCTGTTGGTCATCATTCCTCAAGATTAAAATGAGTTACCAAGAATGCATAACTTAGCGACCTCCAATTTTAGAAGTGGCAGACGTACAAATGCGAAGCAAGCGAGGTTTGGAGCAGTGGCAAGGTGACGGCGCTCACATAGGAATTATTATGATAGAAGTGAACTCAAAAGATTTTCTGAAGTTCAAATGAATGGCAACGGCATCCTCCACAGAGCCAGCAATCACAATGATATCTGCTGTCAACAGAAAGCCGTCACGAAACGAGGATTGCTTTCCAGATAAAGCTGCGCGACTATGTGCCTGCAGGAATATACCTTAGCAAGCAAGCGCAAGACTGTGCTGTTCTGAAAACCTTCTCAGAAAATATCGGTGTCATTGGAAACTAGGCAGCTGCTGAGAATGAATGTTTCAATGAATACACGAATAACGTCAAATTCATTATTGCTTTCACCGACGCTTTACTTCAAAGGTGCCGATGCACGCCATGTCACTCTTTAATCCGCTTATGTGGTGCATAGGCAAATAAAAACGGCTTGAATCTGTACCTTAGCTGCTGCGTTCTAACA